ATCTAAATATCATATTTAAATTGTCCGGAAGTCCTTAGTTACTCACATAACCATTTTTTTTTTACATTATAGTTTTTTTCTTTCTGAAAATCGGTTAAACATACGAAACTGAAACTTTGCACAAACGTTTATGACAATTAGACAAAGCTATACAAAAATTATGACAATTTTCCAAATTCATAAAGCAAAATAGTGGTTATTTATAAATTTGTTACTTACTGTAAATAACTAAAAAAAAACTTTGATTTTAAAAATAACTTACTTGGATAACTTTTTTAAATCAATTTAATTACAAATCGATTGACACCTTAATTTTTTAGAATTATACGAATACTAAAATATGGTAGATTTAGTGATACGTGACCGCATGCCTCAGCATGCACTGCGCAACTAACCTCCAGCGGTCACGTATCACTAAAGCTGCTATATCTCAGTTAATATTCATCCAATCTTAAAAAACAAGGGGTCACTACATTTGTAACTAAATGGCCTTAGAAAAGTTATACTCGTAAAACTTTTGAAAGAACTACGGTTTTGGAGATATTGAAAAAACTGTTAGTTGTGTTGAACAGCTGGGTGGATTAAGTAAAAAAACAGCTGATTATCAGACATTACCACACTTAACAGTGTAATATAAGTTATTGAATCCAAACAATGTTGGTGTTGTAAAAATTAGAATTTTTTTATTGATAGCTTGTAAACTATTAACTCGTACCTAACATTATTGACATAAAAAATAAAATTATTCCAATAATAATTGGAAAGTAAATATTACATTACAATCCCAGTAAGTTTACAGTCTAATCAATGCCTCACTTCCTCTATACCTGAAACTCGACATTTGCCTCATAAACCTATTTTATCTCAACTACCAACCGCTGACTAGGCATCATAAACTTTAGTATCAGGTGAACCTAGTACATTACATAGACTACATAGTTGATGCTGCACAAGGCTGGACATTACTACAAAGTGCTAAACAGTAATTTACATATACTTATTACTCAGCTCAAGTATTGTTTTAAACCATTTTGTACTTGCTTATTCTGTGTGAATCCTGTCAATCTTTCTAGCTTGCATAACGTGTTTACCTCTAGATTTCCCAAACTCCAGTGTAAATAGTGTAATACGTAATACTAAAATTTATCTTTGAACATCTATTTTTTACTTATTTAAAACGCAAACAGGTTTTTTGTGACAATTACTCCTCCGAAACTACTGAACCGATTGACATGTTTTTGGTGTCATTGGAAAGAGCGTAACGTGAAGTTGTGCAGGAAACTTTCTTTTTACGGAAATAACGAGAGAGTGAGGACCTGGGGCCCTTTAAAGTTTCGTATTTCTCCATAAGATTAACATGGGAAACAAACATTGTTATGAATCTCAAGCTGTGGTCAGAAATTAAAAGTAAGAAGAAGAACATAATATGTTATTTAATATGTTAATATGTAAGAACATTTTAATACTCGGAGGTAACCGTGCGAAAATCGTTCATTTTTATCTGGTTCAAAACTTATTTCTTTCATGCAAATACCCTTTTATCTTCCAAAGAGTGTATTCGTTTAAGACAGTTATAGGTAAACAAAACTACTAATTTAGAATAAATACAATTTAGTTATTTTACAACATAAGAATGATTCATCTACCTTAATGAGGTTACAAAATTGTGATAAAAGTAGCCTATTTAAAATCAATTTCCATTAACGTCTTGTCTCTTGTTTACAATACGATTGTGTTTAAACATTTAGCTTAAGGATCTTCTGTTGAATTACAATTCATATTAAAACCTGTTACAAAGTTTTATCCTTGAAAGCGTAGTTACGGAAAAAATACATATTATATATGGTTATAGATACTTTTTTTGTTTTTGCAACCAGCTAAAATAAAACTTAAAATATAGAGACTGCCTGAGTATTGAACAAGTAGAATTGAACTTACAACCAATTGTTATCACTTATGGTAAAACCCGTTTGCCTTCACAAAGGCTTCACAATAAGTTCGCTTTTAAGAGGTAAACATCCGTTTCCAAATTGCTGTTTATCCTAAGGCGCCACCTCGACGCCAACCTTTGTAACTGCCTATTGAGCGCTTCTTAGCTATATGAAAACTTTCCATAAATCATTTGGGTGGTAGATTTTACTATTACAAACACTAAAAGCATATATTGTATAAGCAATCGACACGGTCATGTTGTTGCTTCCAAAATATAAATGATGTACTGCCATAGTAGTGTTGTAAAAGTAAAAAATATGAGAATGTGTGAATTTACCGATTTGAAATTATACATTTTTAATACTCTACTACTGTGGGGTTGATGTTGCTAAAAGCAGGTATATTGATTGCTAAAATAAAATTACTCGTTTCATTGAAATGGATTAACCTATTTTACTAGTCCTGTGTGAACTGATTCTATACATCTGTATACACTGGAACAAACCCTTTCACAACTCAATTAATTATTCCGAAACTAATTACTCCTAAACCTTTAGTGAATAATCTTCTACCTGCTGACTTTCCTAAACTTTTACAAAATTTAATGAATTAAAAACACAACCCAACCATACCAAAATCATAAGAACCTATTAATAATCTATGGTTAACAAAAAATTCAGCAAATAAGTATTCATACAGCACAGTTTTAGGTTTTTTATGTCCCATCTTCACATCCTAGGACGCTAGTTCTAGCCCGGAACTATCTTACACAATACTTCAGGCTGGTACTAGTGGGTTGCGGCATTATAACATGGATAAACTCCATTGGTGATTGGCGGGATTTGAACCCGGGACCTCGGGCACTGAAGCCTCACGCTCTACCACTAGACCAGCTCGCTACCCCGGGTAAAGTGTTGGATATAAAATAAAGAAGGCAAATTAGATCAAAAAGAATTTATAAATTAGAGTAAATGAATTTTTCAAATCGTGCAAGGTATTTTTTGTTGAAACGTTTGCAACGATCGTTGCATTAACTAATTTTGTGTTTTATTTCAATTCATGTTCATAAATAATGGGTTTAAGTAAACAGGAAATTATCAGGCCGAGTTATCCGAAACCGAATAGAAACAGTGAATAAATGGTACTGTATCAAACAAAAACTGTACAAATATATTCTTACATGAATATCAAACCCTGATTAAAAAAGTAATTTATGTATCGTGAGCCCGATAGCAATCAGCTGACCAAACCACAATAGGTTTTACTTCGTCAGCTGTTTACGTTGTGTTAACAGCTGATCAACACAGCTGACTGTTCACACCCTTTCGCTTGTCCAACACTATACCCTCAATCCGAAATTGAATCTATAAAATTTAAACCTATGTAAGCAAAGAGGTGTTTTCATTTCTATATTTTTTTCTGATGTGTCTTTATACTCAAGTTTATTTAATTAAGTTACACATGTTCTGGGATTGTTTAATTAAACTAGATTCAGAATAATAATATAATAGTCAATGATAGTTTAACTACAAAAATTGCTGTAAAACCATTGTTGGCAAGAATTGAATCCAAAACAGTTTATTTAAATGGAATATATTTCTACATAGATTTAGTTGGTAAAAAGATTAAATAAAGAAGCACGAATTTACTCTAATAAACCTATATTTTATCAATTTCTGGCCTTTTTTATTAATTTACAATTTAGGTGCTATCTACTGAGACAAAACTTACAATACTGAGTTCAATACATGGTTTGAATAAAGTTTAATGGTTAAGGTACAGTTATCGAAGGACCAAAGTACGTACATTTGATCTAAATTTCATTTTCTTGAACATAATTTGAGTGTTTTCCATATTTATTAAAATTATATTACCAGCCACAATATTAATTACATCAAATATAACTTTTTTTGTAAATTACGATTGCTATTGTTAAAGAAACTATGTACTTCTATGCTATAGAAAGGGGCTTATGTAATGCAACTCTTCTGTAGACCACTTCTAAGTAAGTTAATCTCACAATATAAAATGTTAATCATATTCTGCATGGATTGGTGGCTGAGTAGACTATTTCCATCATATGAGCTTTATGCATGAAAAGTTAACTGTTAGGAGGAAAATGTGTAAAAAACTTTAGAATATAAAAAAACCAAATAATTTTATAATAACGTATTGTGATAGTAATAATTAAAAAGCTGGATTTCATTTTACCAAAGTACACCAAAAACAATATTGCACTTTATTCACTTATGTATTATTCACTTAATTACCTAATGACACAATGCTTAAATTAATCTGTTTAAATCCTTTGACACTAATACCTTTTTAATTCATACCCATTTATTCATTGATTTAAGTAAAAATATTTATTTAAAAAGTAAAATATTTATTGGCTAGTAAAATATGGTGGTTGGGGGGTAAACTTGCCTAAAAATGTTCAAATGGACTGTATGTTGAAAGAGCAATATTAAAAACTTGTCACTAATTATTTAACAGATAATACTGTAATGAGATTGGTGAGGTACCTTCCTTTTAACTGAAGTGTTGAGAAGACGAAGCCGGTAGACGTACACGAGTTTCTTCTGCTGGCCAGCTATTGCGTATTGCTCGTACACAGACCCGGACCGGCAGTAGTAGTGTTTCACTTCACAAATGTTCAATAGTTCACTTTTAATATGTGTCACTAATAATAATTAAATATACTTTGGGGTTAAGAGATGAGAGCAGCAATTGGGAGTTAATTGTGCCGGGGACATGTTGGTAGTTGCATGAATGCAAGAGAAGAGAACTGGGGCGAGATTGGGGTTTTCCAGACATCACGTGACAGGACAAAGGTTATTCTATGATATGAAACGTCTGGAAATATCTAGGTAGCGCTTGAATACGGAACATGCCACCCGCCTTGAACCGTACATGGTTCAAAACATTGAGAAAGTTACAAAGTGACACATAATGAATAAAGATTGACATTGAAATATAAGAAACATAGATTAAATATATATACATAACATTGAAATAGAAATATGTTTGAAAATAGAATAAACATTTTGTTTGGTCTGATAATGAGATCAGGGGAGCGGGTACACCTTGGTAGCAGGACGACAGAAGGTTCCCCGCTGAGTCTTGATGGTGACAACTCGGACGATGCCATCTGATCCAGGCGAAGTCTTCACTATGCGTCCAAGAGGCCAAAGTAGTGGTGGTGTTCTAGGGTCCTGAATTATAACGAGATCACCCACTTCTAGATTCTTGTTGGGCTTTTCCCATTTCTTTCTTTGTTGTAGCTGATGTAAATATTCCTGATGCCAACGTCGCCAGAAGCGTTGATGTAGGGCTTGTACAGTTTGCCAATGATTGAGACGATTTTCGGGAACCTCTTCAAGATTTGGTTCCGGTACTGCCACAAGAGAAGTGCCGATAAGAAAATGACCCGGAGTAAGGGCTGAGATGTCAGATGGATCAGCGGATAACGCTGTTAAGGGTCTCGAGTTTAGTACAGCCTCCACCTGTGTAGCGAGTGTTATTATTTCCATTAGTGTTAGAACTCTATCGCCTATGACTCTTTTCAGATGATATTTAGAACTTTTTATAGCACTCTCCCATAGGCCTCCTTGGTGGGGAGTGGCTGGTGGTTGAAAGTGAAAATTTATTGAGTGATCCAACGCGAAGTTGTTAAGAGCATCTTTAGTGTTTGATTCCTTGATGAAATTCTGAAAGGTTTTCATGAGTTGCTTTGAGGCTCCAACATAGTTAGTTCCGCAATCTGAGTATAAGTGGGCACACAATCCACGACGAGAAACAAAACGTTTTAGTGTAGCTATGAAGGAGTCTACAGATAGGTCTGTTACAATTTCTAGGTGCACAGCTTTCGTAGCAAAACATACAAAGAGGCAGAGGTATGATTTTAACCGTTGAGCATTCCTAGTTGAATGAACTTTAATGTCAAAATGTCCACTATAGTCCATGCCAGTGTGATAGAATGGCCTTACAGGTTTTAATCGAGTTTCAGGAAGATCTCCCATCAGTGGAGGTTTGTTTACAGGCTTAAGTCTGAAACATCTTTGACACTTGAAAATCACAGATCTTATCACGCTGCGGGCTGATAATATCCAAACCTCTTGAGACAGAATAGACTGCAGCAATTGAGGGCCTGCGTGTAGATGCTTTAGGTGATAATGCATAATCAACAGTTTGACAGTACAGTGAGATTTAGGTAACAAAACTGGATGTTTCGCATCTTGTGTAAGGTTGGAATGTTTCAACCTGCCGCCTACTCGCACTATTCCACTGTCATCAATATATGGGGATAAACGAGCAAGTTTTAAGCTGCATTGAGATCCCTTTTTGAGAGCAGAGATGTCATCCTTAAATGATGTATTTTGTATGAGTTTGAAAATTCTTAATTTCGCTGAAGAAGTTTCTTGGCAAGTAAGTCGTCCGATGCGGGGATCATTGGCTTGCAGATTATGAATGAATCGCAATATATATGCCATGACATTTACAAGTTTCCTGAAACATGAATATTTTTCTAGTACATCAAAATCAGTGAGTTTAATCTTCTCTGTGGTTGCTAGAACGTTTAGAGGATTTGGCCTTATTTCAAGAGTGTCATCATCAATAACAGGTGTGAATTTTGGCTTGGGCCAAGAATCTGACGATGACTGTAACCATTCCGGTCCATTCCACCATAAATGATGAGTCACAAGTTGAGAGGGTGAAAGACCACGAGTGGCGCAATCTGCCGGGTTGTCTTGAGATTTGACATAATTCCATGAGTGAGGAGAGACCAATGCTTGGAGTTCTGAAATACGATTGGCAATGAAGACTTTCAAGCGGTATGGAAGAGTACGTATCCAGGTTAGGACAATTGTGGAGTCACACCAAGCATAGATTGATTCAATCTTCATATGAGCAGAGAGTATGTTTGAAGAATATTGAAGAAGTTTTCCCAGTAAGTGAGCGCCACAAAGTTCAAGCCGTGGCAGAGAAATTCTTTTCAAAGGAGCGACTTTTGATTTAGAGACGATGAGATAGAGCCTTGTATTCTCTTGAGAGTCAGTGACACGAAGGTAGACAACAGCAGCGTAGCCTTTCTCTGAAGCATCGCTGAAGCCGTGGAGTTGCACAGCCGTATGCAGAGAAGTAGAAATGTAGCGTGAAATTCTTAATTCTTGAATTATTGGGAGTTCTTCTAAGAATGAATGCCACTTGGTTCTAACATCATTTGGAACAGGTTCATCCCAAGTTAGCCCTGTTGTCCAGAGATACTGAATAAGTGTTTTTGCCCAGAAAATTACTGGTGTAAGAAATCCTGGTAAATCGTACAGTTTAGCGATTGTAGACAATATTCTTCTCTTTGTAAGTATAGCACTTATTTCAACATCCTTAACCTTGTAAGAAAGCATGTCGGACTCTGGGGTCCATTTTAGACCTAGGACACTGAAGAAGGCTTCACTATTTTCAGTTAACTCCACTGGAGTCTCTTTATGTTCAATTGGGACTTGGTCCAATAGTTGGGGTGCGTTGCTAATCCATTTTCGGAGTTCAAAACCTCCTCTAGCGAGCAAGTTCTTGAGTTCATTCTGTGCAGACAAAGCTTCATCAAGACTTTCTGCTCCAGCGATGATGTCGTCATAAAATATTGATTTAGTTAGAATCTCAGACGCCTTGGGGTATGAGTGACCCTCATCTTTGACCAATTGTTGTAATGTTCTGATCGCAATGAACGGGGAACAGTTGAGACCGTAGGTGACGGTATTTAGCTTTAAGACTTGAAGGGATTCATCAGGGTTGGATCGCCAAAAGATTAACTGATATTTCTTGTCATCTTCAGCCACCAGAATCTGGCGATACATCTGTCGTATATCACAAGTGAACACAAACTTGTGACACCTAAAGTACAGCAAGACATCACTAATATCATTCTGCAACTTAGGGCCAGGCATGAGGATATCGTTTAGGGAGACGCCATTATTTGTTTTGGAACTACCATCAAATACGACTCGTATTTTGGAATTAGGGGGATTCTCCTTAAATACTCCATGATGGGGTAAATAGTAACATTCACCAGAAAGGGGTTGCTCACATGCACTCATGTGACCTGATTTGATGTAGTCATCCATAAATTCGGAGTATAAATCTTTGAATTCGGGCTGAGCAGCAAATTTTCTTTCCATCGCTTTAAGTCTAAGTTGAGCTGTACTACAAGATTCACCTAATAGTGGATGATTTGGTCTTTTCGGTAACTTAACAACATATCGACCAGAGTTATCACGTGTATGGGTTCTTTCAAAATGCTGTAAGCAGAGAACATCTTCTTCTGACTGAGTCTCACATGTCGGGGGTTCTTCGATTGACCAAAACCTTTGAAGTGAACTGTGAAGGTCTCCATCATGTGTAGTGAGAAAAGAAACAGTTTTTGGGATTGATAACTCAGATGTAGCAACAGGAGCTATGCCCATTACAACAAATCCGAATATAGTTCCTAAAACTTGGGGCAGGTTATGGCCTAAGAAGTGCTGCTCACCAGTCAGTGAGAGAGCGAATAAATCAGCTCCGATTAATAGATCAATTTCTCCAGGTTTGTCAAAACACGGGTCTGCAAGGACAAAATCATTTAAAGATCCCTTCACTTGAGGTGAGACTGGGATCTGAGGCAGTGGTGAAGGGATACGATTCAAAACCAAGCATGGATGATGGTAGGCTAAGCGTTGACCATCCCAGACAGCACACTTTCTCCTCAGGACATCCCACGGATATTGCGACAGGATATGCAAGATATCCCATAGTGGTCCTATGGTCAACCTGGGATATCACAGGATATCCGCAGGAATGCGTAATGTCCCCGCCCGGGGATGTCCTACGGATAAGCTCACACGCATATCCGTGGGACATCCGAGGTCATCCCAGGGTAGTCCTCAGGACATTCTCAGGACATATGGGACTACTATGGGATGTCCCTGGGATAAAGTGTGGTCTGGGCCTGAACATAAAAATCACAAAATAATATAGATTTAGTATGAAAAGCTTAATTATAAGTTTAGTAAATTGATTAAATAGTTAATAAACACAAATTTTGAAGAAAAAAACGAGAAAAAAGTTTTTTGGCCCAGACGGGTTTCGAACCTGGTACCTTCTCCTTATGAGCCTCTTACCTTACCTCCTGAGCTATCTGCGCTTGATGATTATGGGTGTTTTCAAGTGGTTTAAGAGTAGCGGACAGTTGCAATGGTCGCAATACTTAAAATATGTTTGATACTACAGTATAGGCTATATATGATTCTGTTAATCTGTTTAGGCCTCAAGTAGTTGAATTGTTTTTCTGGTAGTTGGAGAGGATACTGGTATTTGAATATAGATTATTTAATCACCATTAGATTAGCACTGTTATAATTGATTGTTATATGATTAAAATTAGTTTTTGGTTGTTTTATTAATTTAAAGTTAGAATTAAATTCACATTTCACACAACTATGATAGAACTCTAGTTTTCCTGAACTCGGTGGTAGTAATATGTCAGTAAAGTAAAGTCAACCCTTGCTAGCCATAGTATTAACAAGACATATTTTCAATCTGGGAAACCTTATGCCTTAAACTTTTAAAATAAATTATAAAACCTCAACATCTTAATGCGTGGGAATCTTGTTTTTAGAAAAAAAAACGGACCAAAATTATTTGTTAAATAATGAAGACGGCCCAATTATAAATTCGGAATTACTGAAAATAATTACATCAAGAACAACACTGTAACATATCCAAAATTCAAAAGATTAATTTTTCTAATATTATTTTTTTATATTTACAATATCCTTTAAATCATCTGTTTTAACTTTGTTTAAAATTAATTTATTAAGTAAATATTTACTTTTTGTACTAGTGTAAACACAGCCTGAAGATGGAAACCAAGTTTCTGAAAGCACTAGTGAAAAAACAAATTATTATATATTGGCCTTGTTGAACATTTAAATTTAGATATACATTTCATCAGTGGTAGTATTTTTTTTCTTCATTTTGTTACCGGGACATTACAGGATATCCAGTGGATGTTGTACATGTCCCGGGATGTCATGGGACATTCTGGAATATCCTATGGCATTCGTACATATCCCGGGACTTTACAGGATATCCTGAGGTTAACTTACAAATCCCGGGACATTACGGTATATTGTAGGATATCCTGTGGATTTCGTACTCGTCCCGGGATTTTGCGGGATATCCTGAGGATAGCGTACATATCCCGAGACATTCTCAGGACATATGGGACTACTATGGGATGTCCCTGGGATAAAGTGTGCTGTCTGGGATTAACTGCAGATATATCAATGTGCACTATTCCTCTAGAATGAATTAGTGAGCCAGAAATTCCTTGGATTTCATCGAGTACGGGAGGCACTGATGAGCTGAACAGCTCTTTCAGATATCAATGTAAGTTGAGATGCAGAGTCGAGCACAGCACGGAGTACAGTTTGCTGACCATCTTTGGAAAACACCTGAACTAAACATGTTCCAAGTAAAATTGTTGTTTTAGTTGGGTTTAACTGGCTAGACAATCCTACAAGAGCACTTTTATTCACTGGTGCGGTGACATGGCTTTGGGGTGCGTTATTTGTAGGCGGCTTACCATATTTTTTTTCAAAAACCTTGGTTGGGTAACTTGGCTGCTGTTGTGTGGGAGTTGAGTCATGTAAGAGAGTGTGATGTCGCTTTGAACAAATTCGACACACTCTATGAGAAGGACAGTTATTAGTATCATGTAGATGGCCTAGGCAGTTGGCGCATAGATTATTTTTACAAGTGAATTCAACTCTATCACTTCTACTTTTAGCCTGAAAGGCTTGACACTTGTATATATTGTGATCGGATGCTTGACAAAACTTACAAGTGTTAGTCACTGTGACGAAAGCTGTTTTAGCTTGAGAGGAGTAAGGTTTACTATCTCGAAGAGGTTTAGGCCTATAACTATTAGATTGAGTCTTTTGCACTGAAGGGTATCTTGCGTTAGCTGAGGGACCAAGACCGATACTAGCTCCTTCTAATCGTTTAAATTCTCTTTCAAGGAATTGAATTAGATCATTTACTGCAGGTATGTCATTGTTTGTGATGCGAGAATCCTCAAAAGATTTTCTTAAATCAGTAGGTAACTTTTTCAAAAGCGTTAGGACAAGCAGAGTATTTTCAGCTGTTATGTCATGGTTGAGATTTTTCAAAACTTGAGTGTTCTCTTTATAAACTGTGAGAAAATGTTGGAGACTTTTGAGAGAACCACTACTTATGCATGGCAAATCAATGATTTTTGTAACAAGCTGAGTTACAACACGCCTTTTGTTATCATAGCGATCCTTAAGCAGCCTAAGTGCAACATCAAAGTTTTCTGCAGTTATGCTTAAGCTCTTTACTAAATCTAAGGGTTCACCACTTAAAGAACTAAGCAGATATTGGAACTTACTCACAGGGGCCAAAGTTTCATTCCTATTAATAGAAGCCTCAAAAATATTGTAGTAGCTAACCCATTCTTCGTAGTTACCGCTGAATTTGGGCAACTCAAATTTGGGCAGTCGCAGAGATGGTTGGGTGGGAGGTGTTACTTCTTTAGTTTTAGCAGGTAACACTATTTTCAAGTCACTGATCAGAGAAATGTACAAGTCCGAAATTTCATCTTGCATAGAGCATGCTTCAGTTTCGTCATAATCAGAACCAGGATCATCATAAACCACTTTATCGAATAAAGCTTTAAAATCAGAGAATAAACCTCTAACTTCATCATCATAGTTGTGTAAGCGCTGAATGGAAACAACATTTAATGATTGAGTTTCTGAGAGAGTAATTTGGGCTGACACAAACTTGCTTATTTTCTGAAGCCTATTTTTGACAAGTTTTGCCTTTTTCTCGAGTGTAGAGAATCTCATTTTAACAGACCATTTATGTAATCAAAAGAGTAAGCTATAGGCCTAAGTTTATCATAAGTTTAGGCCTACGTAAATATTCACCAACACCTAAATATCAAAATAACTCCAAGTCTTAGACCTAACAATAATGCAAATTAATAGCTCAGAATAAATCAATTCATTTACATTCACTCTATAAGAAATAATGAATGTAAAATTATATTTCACTTTACCATCAGACCCAGGATAGACATAGTAAATAAAAGTAAAGTCTATTTAACACAAGTCATTTCATTTGAATCAGTATTTTCGCAGAATAAATTGAGTAGGGAAGTATTTATTATGAGCAATATCCTTAATGTAGACAAGAATCGATTCAACCACTAATATTTCGTTTAATATTCATACAAAACAATATTTTCCAAGATGTATAAACTTGAAGGTTACGTTTATATTTTGATTCAATTCACACAGCTGTATGTAGCTGGAGTGTGTTTTATATTCAGTCAGCTAATTTCCTGTGCTTGAAACTGAGCTTTACATTATGATCAATTTGAAGAAGCAATATCATTGGGCGATTTATTCTGTTTTACGAATCTCGACGCTCATTGGTTCTTGCGACGTGCAGACTGTAGGCAGAGCGCTCTAGTGGAGAAGTTCGCTACCACCAAGGTGCATCGCAAGGACAGAAAATATAAAATGGCTGACTTTCTGATAAGTGAAAATATGTTAGAAAATTAAGGACGAAACATTTAATGACAATAATTGATATGGTGAATTGATTGAGAAACTTAGAGAAAATATTAAATATCCTAACTAATTCCTGATTTCAAATAACTATTTGAAAGGAAATATGACGTGATTCATGTAGCAGTGGGAGGACATGAACATGAAATATTCACGTCTGAGATGGCACAGGGGAATGAAATAAAATATTATTTATTCACCAAAAATAGTAATGGGGAATACAAATGCTGCTCTAATTATTTAGAGAAGTGACACTTTTAAGAGTTTAGTTGTACAATTTTAACAGTTACAGTAGCTAGGCTAATAAAAGCACAATATATTATTAATGATATGATTTTCATCCGGCTCGAAGGACCAGCGGATGGGGGGTAAACTTGCCTAAAAATGTTCAAATGGACTGTATGTTGAAAGAGCAATATTAAAAACTTGTCACTAATTATTTAACAGATAATACTGTAATGAGATTGGTGAGGTACCTTCCTTTTAACTGAAGTGTTGAGAAGACGAAGCCGGTAGACGTACACGAGTTTCTTCTGCTGGCCAGC